AGGAATGTGACTGGGATACTCTACGGGCCTCAATGTTTGAATTGTGGGGTGACAAGTATGAAATTCTGTATACAACAACTGACCTAGTCAACCTTTCTGAAGAATTTTCTAGAGATAACAAAACAGTCAGCTACCAAGCATTCCAGACGTACCTTCAAAACTTTTCCAAAATACTTGATTACCTCCTCATCCAGAAACAATTGAGAAGTAGACAGGATGCCTTAGTTATTTTCATCAGTGCCTTTCCCCAAGAACTCCAGAGAAATATCAAACGGAATTTAAATCACAATGGTCAACTTCGACAAGCACCCGACGGATCCAGGTTACCCCCTCTTTGGGAACACCTTACGGAGGCGGCTGGGATCGAGATTGAATTGGAAGAAAGGTATCAAAAATGGTCATGTAATTTGGAAGCTCCTGCCAAACATCCAACCAATGTCACACAGTCTGTGAAAGAATTAGCCGAGGAAATTGAGTCACTCAAACAACAACTTCCAGAGTCACAATCACCTGTCATATGCAACACTCCACATCCTTTGCCCCAAGGGGAGCCACGGACGGATTATACGGAACTAGCGACGGAATATACAGAGCCAGCAACGGAACATACGGAGCCTGTGACGGAACATACGGAGCCAGCGACGGATTATACGGAACTAGCGACGGAATATACAGAACCAGCGACGGAAAATACGGAACTAGCGACGGAATATACAGAACCAGCGACGGAAAATACGGAACTAGCGACGGATCATACGGAGCCAGAAGCAAATTATACGGGACTCACCATTGCTGATACAGAAAAGTCAATGGATGTCACCATACCCGCGGCCTCAATGAACATGACAGAACCAGTCACAACTACCAAACTACTGGATCTGGAAGAATGGAAAGCGGCATCAATAAACGTAATGGATACACCAATGGAGCTTGCACATACAGTAATCAAAATCCCTGATATAATTCTAGATGAACCTGATACGGAGAACAATGTGGATCAGGAAGAAAGCTTGGATCAATCAACTCAACCAGAAACTTTGGATCACTTGCCCAACCCGGTGAAGATTGAAAATTTACTACGTGCGGAAAACTCCAGGGAAGACCACAAATTTCCTGCAATCCCCAGCAAATTTTGGATTCGTAATATCAAGAAATGTTTGGAAATCAAGATCTTCAATAAGCAACTATTTAAGCCTCACTTGGACATATTTGGACTTTTGCGGATCAATAAACACATGTCTCAACACCTGGAAATCAAGAATACACAAATTGAAGAACCAAAAGACAAGATTATTAGTGTTCATTCCCCATTGGCTCCTGAAAATCTTGAAACAACAGACTTGCCTATTTCTAGCCAGCCAGTTCCGCCATCTATTTCCACTGCACAAATTCCTGAAGAAGTCTTTTCAATTTCGACACCTCCGGATCCACCAGATATTACAGCAACATTGATTAATCCACAGAATGAAGCAAACCGGAAGACTAGACAATTATCAAAGTTATCAATCAAAAATATTGCTCCATCTGAATCACCAAGGGAATTATTTCTTCTAATTTACTTACTCCAGAAGATCTTTCCTCAGTTACCTATATCCATTCCGCCAGACCCTCTTCAAAAATCTTATGGAAAGGTCAAGCGCCCAAGGCTACTGGTTGGAGTTGGTTAAAAATTTAAGCAAAAATCTTTTTTTCAAATATTTTTTTCTGTCAAATTCAAGAAGATATCAGCCTTCAAGAATGCAACATCAGAATATTTTTGAAGTTGGGCGAGGAACTCACACTCTTTTATCATCCTCTCTTTCAACCTTACCCCTTCCTTCATTCACAGAACCTTATACTTCCCTGTTTAATTTTTTTTTTTACACCTTAAAAACCTCATAAAAAATTAAGCCTCCTCCTGGGCATGAGACTAAACTGTTCACACTACAAAAATCACATTACAAAATCTTAGCTTAATTTTTTCAAAATC